GTTGGCTATGCATCGAGATGCGTATCGTATCGGCCTCAGTCATGAGATGCACATCCCTAGTATGTATAGTTCATTACAAAGGACCGAAAACCAATCACAAAGAGTACTTTCTTCATTTAAAAACTTGAGATGCAGTAGGATGGGGAAAAACCGCCATGATTTTTAATTTTACATGGCTTTCTAAACATGCGGCTCTCTTGTGCAAGACGCGAGTGCAACGGTGATAGATGTCCCTCTAGAAAGTGTGATAGGCCTAAATATGCGTTCAGTGTGAACGGCTTGATTTCGGTTTTGACGTAAACAACATCATCTCCGCATTGATGTTCTCTTTTTCCACAATATTTTGAATGAACAACGTAGCAGCGCCGCATCTAGTGGGTTCAACTGGATAGGCTAACAAAAGCATTAAAATGCTATGACACATCGTCGTCGCATTTCGTGCACCACTGATAAGGCTGCCTGACGCACACCTAAAATGTGGATTTTTATTTTAAATTCGACAAATATTCGAAATTCGATTTTTTTTTTGACAGCCCTAGTAATATATACACATTGTAAAATGCAAATTGTTTATATGGTTTGTTTAGGACTTATTACTATTGTATTGCCATTTTCAGTGGGCTATAATAATTGTGGTAAGGAATCATGGAGGACACACCTGCAAGACTACTGTATTCTTATAAACACAGGCAAGGCTACAAAGAACACCTATTCTCAACCAAGGGACCCACTTTAGGGTGCCTGAGTAAACTTCCAAAGGGGCCAGAAGATACACCTAAAATGTGGATTTTTATTTTAAATTCGACAAATATCCGAAATTCGATTTTTTTTTGACAGCCCTAGTAATATATACACATTGTAAAATGCAAATTGTTTATATGGTTTGGTTTGTTTAGGACTTATTACTATTGTATTGCCATTTTCAGTGGGCTATAATAATTGTGGTAAGGAATCATGGAGGACACACCTGCAAGACTACTGTATTCTTATAAACACAGGCAAGGCTACAAATTACACCTATTCTCAACCAAGGGACCCACTTTAGGGTGCCTGAGTAAACTTCCAAAGGGGCCAGAAGATGTCTCAAAATTGTTAAAATAAATTATATGAAATCATTTAACAATGAAAATGTTGAAATCTGTTGAAAATCAATAATGCAACATGTAAACTGATGTGTTTTTCACTCTGGAGAAAAAAATCAGGAACTTTGCATGCACCTCTAGATTCTCACTCCCATAACCTTTTAATTTGCCCATTCAACAGTATATATAATTCATACTCTGATTCTAGTAATACTTAGATATAAATGTCAGACTCTCCATGTCAACACCTCTTTAGTTTTGTTGAATATGGCATTACAAGAAATGTGTTAAATGTGTTTGTGTCTGTGTGAATTTGAGTGTTACAATAAGATGAATTAGCAATTTAAAGGAAATAACATGCATTTAAACAGCATTTACTGAATTGAATAAATTGCATATATTTTCAACTCATTTTGACCAGTCTGTCAAAGCTGTGTGTGTTTGAGAGGCAGGCATGAATATCACCCAAACTGCCTGGAAATGGATACCAGTCACAATTTATTTTAAATATGAGTGGCAGGTGGAACAGAGACCGATACGATCCAGTGAAATTCCCGCAATTTGTGAAAAAAGAATGGAAGAGGCATCTAAGGGCTGTTTGTGTGTGTGTGTGTGGTTCCCTGTGCTTCACACATTTGCTCATTCATAGAAACTTTTTTGTATATGACGCACAATTGAAAATGACATATCCAGGCTTAAATCTGGATTCTTTTGAAAATACTTGACCAGTCTTAAAAGAAATGATGAAAATATATCTGTTAATAAAGTGGCCCATTTTAGATTAAACTAAGGCAGCAACCAAATTCTCTTTCATGAAATAAAATTGTTTTGTCTGGTTATTATAAAGATCATCAAGGTTTTATCCATGACACATTACTTTTATATTTTATATTTTAATCATTGTATGTTTTTCTGTAACACAACAGCATTTATTATCTTCAGCAATGTCTGTTAATAAAACAGTTCTTCTTTTCTTCATGTTAGTTCACAGTACATTAACTAATGTTACATATTTTGATTTTAAAAAAATGAAATGTTGAAATGAACAAAGATTCATAAATAATATAGAAGTCTTGTTCATTGTTAGTTCATATGAACCAATGTTAACAAATGAAACTATGTCAAGTATAGTTGTGGCAATCATTTATTTGAACGCCTTATTGAGTCTCCAAAAGCCTCTTTATTTGGCTATTTTATCTGATAGCCCAAATTAGTGTATTTATTTTAGTTTAAGATTAAAAAAGAAAAGACTGCAATCAAGGTTGTTTGGACAACATTTAGTAAATATCTTGAAATATGTCAGCAACAACACTTAAAATAGCATCTTTAACCTCTTATTCGATTATATATTCTGACGTGTGCATATACAGATTCATATATAAACAGAACATTATTCAAATAATTTGTAAAAAGGATGGCTTGTTCAAATTTGTGAAAGGCTCCTAATGGACGACTATTTTTTAAAACTGTAATTTTGAGTTAAACGCAGTAAACCAATAAAATGTGGTGGTACTTTCATGCATTTTGAACAGTTTGGCAGTTCATAGCAAGCATGTTGCAGAATAGGATTTTGTCAGTGGATGGCCCATATGCTTGAAGGAATTACTGAACCTAAACTTGACTTTCCTTAGATATTGTGTGAACCCCAGCCAGTTCCCACAACGCTACCACTTCAGTGCATGCTGGGATTTGGTAAACTCTTTTATCAGCATTTCAACACACAGAAAACAAAATATCTTAAACATAAGATGATAATGCACATGTGTAGAACTCACATTTTCAAGTGTACCTCCCTTTGTTCTAAAAATCTGCATTTGCATAATTATTATCAAACTTTCATCCCACATCACTCATCCATTTGCACAGAAATTTAAATAGAAAATTAATCTGAAAAAGAAATCTCATTACAATTATATTCGAGCAAAATCTCAAATAACCCAATTTATAAAACAAAACACACATATGCTCATTTAGACCATTTTTTAAAAATAGTAATAAAACAAACAAACAAAAAAAACATTTAAACAAGTCTGATCACAAGCTAAAAAAAAAAAAAAAATCTTTGCATAGTGCTGAAGTCTAATAAAAATTTCCATGAAGGGTGTATAGTATATGTGCACAAAACGTGCATACAAGGAATTACTTTCCATAAAGAGACACTAGAAATGTGGATGTAACCAATGTGTTTCCTTAAGGCGCGGTCACATTAGCGAAATTTCGTGGGCAAAAAGGTCTATTGTCCATTGTCACAAGTGTAGCGATGCATGAAGCCCAGAGTCACTTTCAATCCAAGCAGCTTTCTATTGGTCAATGGCTCAAATTCGTGTGACCAACTTGAACACAAACTCTGAGGGGAACTGTTTCGCCATCAAACGAAACTCCCGATCGCAAGGATTCCTCTAGAAATGACTGGACTTCTGTAAATGTGACCGCACCTTTACAGCATAATTCATGAAGCAGAACATTTTTTATGTGAATGTTAGTGAAGCAGACAAGTTTTTTGACAGTGTGCTGTACTACAGTTTCTTTTAAAGATTGGCTTGTGAGTTTCTCACATTTTTGATCTCCAATTCCAACTGTTTTATCCGCACATCCTTCTGGTTAAGCTGCTCCTTCAGCCTTCGGATCTCTTCCTGCTGCTTATAAAACATTTGTCGTAGCTATATGCAGAAACACATACATAAACACACATTAGAGGGAAGTATGAAACCTTTTTATGCAAGTAGCCCCTTAGTTAAGGGGGATACCTGCTAAGCTATATGAAGTATACCTCATTCTCTGTTTTTGGTGGCGAGCAGTGCGTGGAATCTAGTTGTCCATTGCGGACGTAGGTTGTAGAGCTGCTCTTTTCATCTGTGGATGGGAGCAGCGAGGTAGCGGGGGATACTTTGCGTGCGTTCCCTTCTTTGGCATCCAGCCGTTCCTGAATCAGCAGTGATAGTCCTGGCCGACTACGAGAATGCTGTGTCTCCATCGAGTCTGTTGGGTCTTTCCCTGAGCCCAGTTCCACATATGAGTCCAGTTTACTTCCAGGCCTCAGAGACATCATCACAGGACCTGCATAGCAAGTAATTAAGTTTTATTCTCTGAATCACTAAAAAAACTGTTTTATTATTTCTATGACATTAGCAATAATGCATAAACAAACAAGCATTTAAAAAAAATAATTAAAGCTGCAGTCCGTAAATTTTGCCTCTTTGTCGCCATCTCTGTTTGAAAACCTGCAATTGCAGCTGTGTGCGGAATTATCTTCCTTGCGTGGGTTGTGCTGCGGATGAATCTAATGTTTTGAGGAGTATGTGTGTCAGTCAGTCACCGCACCGGTGTGAGAAAACATTATTATAAGATGACCGTTAAGTAAGGCGATGGTTTCGAAAACTGGCTGGTTATGTACTTGCTCAAATATTGATATTCGGATCATTTTTAACCAAAAAAAAGTTACGGACTGCAGCTTTAAGGATGCATGCAACTGATTTAAAAGTGACAATAAAAACTTGTTACAAAAAAAGATATATATATATTTCAAATAAATGTTGTTCTTTGGAACTTCCTATTTTTCAAAGAATCCTGATTTATCATAGTTTCCACAACAATATTAGGCAGATATCAAATATGAAATATTATATTAGTATATATATCAAAATATTACTGTTTCTAGTGTATTTTTGACCAAATAAATGAAGCTTTGGTGAGCATAAGAGACCCAAAACATACAACCAATAAATAAATATATAATTTTTGTTTTTTTTTAGACTCTAACCTTTGTCTAGACCACCGATCCACTCATCTGCTGTCATGGAAGGCTTGTTCCCAGCTGTCATGGGGTAAATGTCCTCTTGATAGGACTCTGACTGCAGAACAGAACACAATAACATCTGTGAGACTGCTAGGGATCCTCATCAACAAGGATAGCATAGTAAAGTGAGAACTAGCTCGACTTTTTGTCATATTTTTTTTTTTGTATTTGAATGCATGTGTGAACAGAATTGTGTATACCCTTCGTGGAACAATCATGGATAGAGTTTCTATGAGACTTTTGATTGTCACTAGCTTGTAGAATCTGAAGATTTCACAGGAACACACATCAAGACCTCTCTTTGGCATGACACCTGGAAGAGAATGCAAAGACATGTTCTGATTTAAGTCACAATTATTTCAAACATATTAACTGTATATTAATATATTAAAAGTAATACCAAATAACACACTACAGTTAAAATTACAATCAGGTATTTTAATTGAGCTTAATTATGTTAGCCAGCACATAAAGTACGATTATTAAAACAATGATTTGATATGTACTTTAAACTTTTCATTTGACGTTACTACAAAGTGCACTTTTTGAAGTGTTGAGTCTCTCTGAGTACACATAAGTGGCAAGTGCATTGTTTTGGGTTCATAAAGATGAAGCTGAACATTCTCTAAAAAATGTACAATTAGTATAAATATGTCTGTGTGTGTGTGTGTGTGTGTGTGCGTGGGTGTTCTCATAAATGCATGCTCCTGAAGGTAAAATATAGTACAGTACTTCTCTGACATCTAAAGTATTTAAACCATTTACTTACCAAACCTGATAAGTGAAAAAAAAGTGCAACAAGGATGAACCAGTTTCAAATGACTTGTGCTGATGTTTTGACTACTTGTGCAAAGGAACGTTGAAATGGGGTAATAGATTTATGATGTTGTTTTGAGTATGTTTTTGTGTGTGTATACATGTAAACTATACATAGAGTACTCACCCATTCCCTTCTGTGGTAGAAGAGACCGGTATTCAGTCAAATAGTGCACATATGGCTTCTCTGGGCTGATTTCATAGTATCTGATATTTCCATCACCCTAAAGATTAAAGGAGCATTGTGTTATCCATTAATAACCTGTATCATCAATACAGCAGTAAAAAACTATTTGCCGATCTGGTAGTTTAGGTTATATGTACTCACTTTTCCAGCTATGTAAAGCATGTGTGTGTCAGGGTCATAAAACGGGAAGAGAACACCAGAGGAGCCGTCCAAGTCCTCTGAATAAGACGGCTGAGAGAGGTCCTCCTGCAGAACACACACGTACACGTGATTTTGGCACTTAATATAGCTAATACTGTTAGATTACAATTTTATGTTATTATTATTTTTTTAAGCAAAACCACCAAAAATACCAATGTAAAGTTATTACTACATTGGATCCATATTTAACTCGTCTCAGGAAGATAGGTGAGTTGCATTGTAATGGTCAGTAAAATAACTGCTACGTCATGATTGTAACACTAGGGGGAAATCTAAAGTGATGATTATACTGCTTCTTAGAGATGTCAGTCTGAGGATAAACACATGTCAGAACTGAGCTTGTATAGATGACAGGTCCATTCCAAACAGTCAGAAATTAACTAGGGCTTAGGGCAAAAATGCCACCAAAAGTGACTAGTGTTGTCAAAAGACCCGGTATTTCGGTACCAAGTCGGTACTAAAAAAATGAAAACGTTACGGTACCAGGTTTTCTTAAGTACCGGTGGTACCGAGTACCCGGTCAACCCGGTTCTTGATGCGCTATCCGAAAGCTATCCTCTTCCGGTGTTGCCAAGTCCGCGGTTTTCCCGCAGAATTG